CATCTTTATGACTACATAGTTGATTAGTTAGTCAGTGGCGTATTTTCTACATTTGAATTTTTGATTATTACTGGCTTTTGAATCATTATAGACCGTCAGATAGTGACAGATTTAGGTGCCCCATTTTTTCATACAAGCCTCGAAGAGGGTTGAAAAATACATCGATTTTGAACAGAATGGAAGGATTTTTACGAATGGCTCCTGGGGATAACGTATGGAAAATCCAATTTTCCGCAACACAGAAGAAAGGAGTCTTGGTGCCCATATTCTCTCACATGCCGTGTTCACCAGAAGATTAATTGATAGAACCTGGCTTGAAAAAAATAAAGCAGGGGTTATTGCAAGAGGCTAAAGGGTTGAAATAAGGACGTAATCTTGTAAGGAAAATCGAGATTTTGGGCAACCCACTCGGAAGGATGAAAATTTACACCGTCGGTAGCAAGAAACACATAATGACTTGAGTGGCGCGAATGAAAAAGTATATTTTAGGGTAACATAAGTAAAATCAAATATTCCATATGTTATCCCCAGGAGCCACTCGTAAATTTCCCTTCATTCTACTCAAAATCGGTGTACTTTTCAATCCCCTTCGAGGCTTGCATGCGAAAATGGGGCACCAAAATCTGTCACTATTTGATGGTCTATTAGAAAGTTTCTCTGATATGGACCCAGTAACGAATTCATACGAACTTGGAAAGATTGAGGGAATAGTCAGAAACAGGAAAATACCAGTGGCGTACACTTGATAATAAGTTATTTTTCAAGTACAAATAAGTGGATTGTTGCGAAACTTATAGGTGGACCTCTGCGGGACGAGCGCAGCGAGTTTCGCAGCCATCTACTCACCAATATATTGTTGAATTGTTCAAGACATTCATCTGAAACATGTAGTTTTTAAACTAATGAGAATAACTCACATTTGAGTGAGTCAGGTTAGTAACGTAATTAAACAACATATTGATGAATAGATCCACCTATTCCGCAACAATTCACTCATTTGTACTTGAATAACTTGTCACATTATGTTACTAGTTTGGTAAAATAACATTACTAATTCCTGTTGAAAGGCAAATTAACAAAAAGTGGATAATCTTCTATGTTCTGACTTTGTATAATAAGTTATTTTTCAAGTACAAATAAGTGAATAGTTGCGGAACTTATAGGTGCGAGTTCCGCAGCCATCTACTAACCAATATACTGTTGAACTGTTCAAGTAAGACATTCACCTGAAATATGTAGTTTTTAAACTAATGAGAATAACTCACATTTGAGTGAGCCAGGTTAGTATCGTTATTAAACAACATATTGATGAATAGATAGCTGCCGCAGAGGTCCACTCATAAATTCCGCAACAATTCACTCATTTATACTTGAATAACTTGTCACATTATGTTACTAGTTTGGTAAAGTAATATTACTAATACCTGTTGAAAGGCGAATTGACAAAAAGTGCATAATCTTCCATATTCTGACTTTGTATAATAAGTTATTTTTCAAGTACAAATAATTGAATTGTTGTGAAATTTATGGGTGGACCTCTGCGGGACGAGCGCAGCGAGTTCCGCAGCCATCTATTCACCAATATATTGTTGAACTGTTCAAGTAAGACATTCACCTGAAACATGTAGTTTTTGAACTAATGAGAATAACTCACATTTGAGTGAGTCAGGTTAATATTGTAATTTAATAAAATATTGATGAATAGATGGAGGTCCACCCATAGGTTTCGCAACAATTCACTCATTTGTACTTGAATAACTTGTCACATTAGGTTACTAGTTTGGTAAAGTAACATTACTTATACCTTTTAAAAGGCGAATTGATAAAAAGTGGATAATCTTCCATATTCTGACTTTGTATAATGAGTTATTTTTCAAGTATAAATAAGTGGATTGTTGCGAAACTTATGGGCGGACCTCTGCGGGACGAGCGCAGCGAGTTCCGCAGCCATTTACTCACCAATATATTGTTGAACTGTTCAAGTGAAACATTCACCTAAAACATGTAATTTTTAAATTAATGAGAATAACTCACATTCGAGTGAATCAGGTAGGTATTGTAATTAAACAACATATTGATAAACAGATGGCTGCGGAACTCGCTGCGCTCGTCCCGCAGAGGTCCACCCATAAGTTTCGCAATAATTCTAGTTCTAGGCATTCACTGGATTAGTTTTATGAAACAAACCAGCTCTGATGTTGAAATTTTGACTTTAGAGTTTCAAAAAAGATAGAATTAACTTGACAGTTTTTTGAAGTGAAACTTCTTAGGCGTAGAGCGACACTCAATAATAAGTTATTTTTCAAGTACAAATAACTGGATTGTTGCGAAACATGGACGGACCTCTGCGGGAAGAGCGCAGCGAGTTCCGCAGCCATCTTCTCACCAATATACTATTGAATTGTTCAAGTAAGACATTAATCTGAAACATGTAGTTTTTAAATTAATGAGAATAACTCACATTTGAGTGTCAGGTTAGTATCGTACTTCAACAACATATTGATGAATAGATGGCTGCGGAACTCGCTGCGCTCGTCCCGCAGAGGTCCACCCACAAGTTTCGCAACAATTGACTCATTTGTATTTGAATAATTTGTCACATTATGTTACTAGTTTGGTAAAGTACCATTACTTATACCTGTTGAAAGGCGAATTGACAAAAAGTGGATAATCTTCCATATTCTGATTTTGTATAATAAGTTATTTTTCAAGTACAAATAAGTGGATTGTTGCGAAACTTATGGGTGGACCTCTGCGGGACGAGCGCAGCGAGTTCCGCAGCCATCTACTCACCAATATACTATTAAACTGTTTAAGTAAGACATTTATTGGAAACATGTAGTTTTTAAACTAATGAGAATAACTCACATTTGAGTAAGTCAGGTTAGTATTTTAATTAACCAACATATTGATGAATAGATGGCTGCGGAACTCGCTGCGCTCGTCCCGCAGAGGTCCACCCATAAGTTTCGCAACAATTCACTCATTTGTACTTGAATAATTTGTCACATTATGTTATTAGTTTGGTAAAGTAACATTACTAATACCTGTTGGAAGGCGAATTGACATAGTCCAGTGTTTTGCGAAAAGCTAATTCATTTCCTTCACAAACATATAATTTCCCCATGTTCCATTACCAATGGTAGGTAGTTCAAAGTACACCGATAATTGAAATTCAATTAAAACTCGTGTATATCCAATCCATAAGTCACGTTGAGCATTTATACAGCTTAAAGAACAAGCAAACAAATTGAAATTCAATGTACGTCCTCTACAAATCGGCCAATGTGACACTTTCGGACATTGCTATCAACAAGTGGAAGTTAATTTCCATTGAACAAAATTTCCTCTCATTACCTTGAGCTTAATTATATTATTGGATTCCATAAAACATGTCGTGCAACACGTACAATTATGGAAGTAATTATTGAACTTAAAAAAAAAATGTCCGGATAACATAATGTTAGTCATGCATTTATTAGATTTTTTTTGGACACTTCTGACGTCATTTATTGAAATTTAATGAATACCAGGTAATTGTTTAGTTGACCAATAATAAAAATTGTTACGCATCAGCTTAATTATACCGACAACCGGATATATTTGCATTGAAAACTTGTATATATATATTCTAAAAATTCAGGTAAAAAATTCTTACCGGGTAATCCATTGCAAACGGCCAACAAAAGTCCGCCGAAAACTATCACAGTCCTAATCAGTTCCATTATTGCAGTAGTTGAATAATTCACTTGTAAACAAATCGCCTCTATGTCGGTGCTTCGCAGTCGATATTCTGCTGTCGTCCTCCTGCTAAAAATATATATAAAGCTGCCCGCTGAATTCCTAAAAGCGATTTTCCGGATTTTGCGCAACCGAAACGAATATGTCGCCCAATGTCACAATGATGATAATGTCATAGGTTTACTGTCATGATGAGTTTTAAATATTTTGAGCCCTTTGAGAAACCTGATTAGTGTATAATTTGACTGTGCTAGGACCTGTGGCGTGCTCGAAATTGGAAAAATATAGAGATTTTCAATTTTGGGGAATCCCCAGTAAAAAAATAGGATTTTCTTCTGTGACATCTTGAGGAGGCCTTGGAAATAGGAATGTCTATGTTGTAAAATAGGATCATGAGTAAATTTTTGCAAGTTTCAAAACTATGAATAAATTCAGAGTCGTGAATTATTTTCTTATTTTTTTTTCAATAGTATCCAATCAATCCTGAATGATTTGATCTCTTTAGTGGTCTTGGGAATTGAGAATTCCTTGATAGCGTCAATTCTGATTTCTTTAGAAATTCTGACTTGTCTAGTTGGATTTTCAGATTGAACTGCTCTAATCTTTGGAATATTCTTTTCAGATTTTTGATATGTTCTTGGAGAGAAGTGGAGTAAACAAAGATGTCATCCATATGGACTAAACATATTTTGTTTTGTAGTCCGGATAAAACATTGTCCATCACTCTTTGAAAAGTGGCTGGGGCGTTTTTCAAGCCAAAGGGCATGCCTGTATATTCGTAATGCCCGTTTTCTACGTTCAAAGCAGTTTTAGGAATTGAACTTGGGTGCATTTCCACTTGGTGGAAACCAGAAGCTAGATCTAAGGTTGTGAAATAATTGCTTCTGCCAAGCTTGCCCATTTATCAATATGTTCATAATTCAATTGATTCACGTAGTTGTTATTTGCCCAAGATTTTCCAATAATTTTCATAGAATTTCTTGATTGAATTCTCAAAAAATGACACAACAAAACACTCCTAAAATCAGTTACAATTTTTATTTACAACACAATTATGTTTTGTTTTTAAAAATTACATTTTAATACTTTTAATAAAATAAAGACATCTCTCAACAAGGTCACAGACAAATATTTAACATTTAAAAATGTAGTTAACATTGTCAAATAATTTTGAAAATATGTATATAGATTATTACAAACTAAAAATATTAATAATTGCTAAAGTCTATTATTTAATAATTTGGTGGACAATAATACTAAGAGATAATTACTTTTTTAACCAATTAATTTTCTGGTAACTGTATAAATATTGTATAATACTTATGCAGAAAAAAATAAAATAAATAAGTACCTTAAAATAAGGAGAATTTTGTACTGTTTTATAAATATGTGTGAATATGAGGTAAATAATTACCAAAATTAATTTAAAGCTAACTAAATACGAATAACAACTATTCTGTCAAGTCATTTTATATTTTGGTCTTCTTCTACTATTGTCGTTTTACGTTTTTGAAAAACCACTCGGTGAATTTCCTCAATTGCTGCACAGCTGCTTGCGCCTGCTCCTTCACCTTCTTATTTTCGTCCCTCAAACGTCGATTTTCACGCTCCAGAGTTTGGATTTTCCGATTCAGCTCTACAACATGTTTGGTCTGATCAGGAATGCTTCTACAAAAAAAGGATTCAATTTTCTGGAAGTTTCAAGTAATTGAACTTACGAATATGAGCTGGACAATTGCTGGTTGATACCGATGAAATCTTCTTCCCAGGGTTTTGCGGGACGTTCTTTTTCTTCGTCGGCTTGCATCATCACTCTTGTCGCTGTGTCCACCAAACTGGGCCAGTCTGAGTCTTCTGGCAAGGGAAAGTTGTCTGGGAAAGGTAAACCAACCTAAAAAAGAAACAACAATAATGGTGGTTACTTGTGAGCCAAGATTGGAGGTTGTATGTAAACAAGCTTGTGCTTGAAGACACGAAGAAAGACCAGCATATTGCTAGGTTAAACAAGAGAACCACTGCACCAATCTGATAGGGCCATTATTCCGATCCTTATTGGTAAATAATTGGTTAGGTATGTCCCTGCTCAGGCACCAAAATTGTACTATACTATGGCATGCTAGGAATTCGTGTCAGATGAATGAAATTATTGAGGATGACGTTGAATGGGTGACACTGGTGTAACTCTAAAGGCAGAAACAGACTGACTTCACCTTACGTGAGCTCATATGCTATCATGTTATCATGACTTAAGCATGCTTAGAAACAGACTACTGTCACGTTTTAATGATGTAGTACGCAAATTATTATGCACATTTTTTGATTTCTTTATTGTTTGCCTGTTTTTCGTGAACTTAGAGGTAGATCAACTGCCCTTTGTGTTTTACTGCTCTGTTGGACGTAGACTAATCTCCGCGTCGATTCCAAAGTCTCTGGACATCGAGGTTCACATGCAGAACTTATTTGTTCAAGATTCCTTTTTCTTGAGTTAAGTGTTTTCCGAGAGATGCCTCTGGTCAGGATAATATTTGTTTAAAAATCTCCCTAACCCTGCCTGATGGAGCACTAGATGCATTGGCGAGCGGTATTAATGCGTCCTTTTGCAGCGGCACATTACCTGACAGCCCAAAAGCTGCTCTAATAGTTCCAATTCAAAGGAGGAGTGGTGACTGGGACGATAATTGGTTGGTTAGGTCCCTGCTCGGGCGCCAAATTTATAATGGTTTCTGGGGTGTCTCACTCAAAAGGTTCAGTTCTCATTTGTCCAATCGGTTTCAGGCGGTTCGTGTGAACAACACGTTATCCAATAGCGAAAAAATAACTCCAGAGCTCGGTTTTGGGCCCAATCCTCAACCTAACCTCAATCGATAATAATGGCAAATTCACTTTCTTTGCTGATGACACCACTATACTATGGCATGCTATTTTGTGTCGGATAAATTAAATTATTGAGGATGACGTTGAGAGGGTGAGACTTCCACATCGGTCTTCTCATACCTAAATCTACCCTACTTCAAAAAAGTATTTGACATTTGCGTGTTACAGTCTGACAGGAGGTTCAAGAGCACATCACTCTATCACTAATAAAACTGTCGTTGGATATGTTGTCGTTCATTTGGTTGATGTGGATCCTTGTAAAATCGCCATGTATTTGATAGTCGGCCACTTTTGGAGGCCTAGTGTTGCTCAACCTAATTAATCCTGAGGGTGGCGCCCGAGCAGGGACCTAACTAACCAATTATTTCCCTTTAAGGATCGGGGTAATGGTCCTATCAGATCGGTAGTAATCGTTGCCTAGGGTTGTGAATTTTGGGATGCTTATATCTATAGGGAAATTGATTTAAAATTTCCCGGATCGTCCCAGTCACCACTTTTCTTATGGATTGAAATTATTAGAGTAGAAGAGTACTTTCAGGACACATATTAAATTGTATCTTTGTTAATAAATACCATGTATTTTGAACATTGGAGCATATTTTGATTTGATTCAGTTACCTTATTCTTACTTGGCGAAGGTAAATTTTCATCTTTGGATACCCTAAATTCACCTGGCAAGGAACTGGAAGTGGTACTGGCATTCGATAGAGAGATCCGTAAGATAAGAAACCGATTACCGAACTACTTCGCTTCCGTACAAAAACCACCTTACAAATTTGGCGCCCGAGTAGGGACATAACTAACTAATTATTTCCATTGACAAAAAGTGAACATTCTTACAAATTTTGACTTTATATGATAAGTTATTGTTCAAGTACAAATAAGTGGATTATTGCTGAACTTATGGGTGGTCCTCTGCGGGACGAGCGCAGCGAGTTCCGCAGCCATCTATTTACCAATATATTGTTGAACTATTCAAATAAGACACTCACCTGAAACGTGTAGTTTTTGAACTGATAAGAATAACTGACATTTGAGTGAGTCAGGTTAGTATCGTACTTGAACAACATATTGGTGAATAGATGGCTGCGGAACTCGCTACGCTCGTCCCGCAGAGGTCCACCCATCAGTTCCGCAACAATCCACTCGTTTGTACTTGCCATAGAAATACAGAAACACCACAACAACTTCAACAGAAAAGAAGAGGACATGAACCTCAACAAAAGCTGTTTGCCAGGTTCTCCGAAAAACAAAGACCCTTCCTTTTCGAGAACGAGACAAGGAAAATAGCGTAATACAAGCCACGCCCACAACCCTGGATATAAAGAACGCAGATCCAACAACGTCGAATTCAGTCATCGGAGGAACAGGAAGAGAACACTTCGTCCTCTACCATACCGCCTCTGAAGATGTCTACCGCAGTAGTAGACGAAACGTTAGGTAGGAATACTAATATTCCACGGCATTATAGCCCGGAAAAAACTTTTTTACTTGATTTGACTGGCCGTGAAAGCCTTTATTATTCAATAATTGAAGAGTTATGTCCCTGCTCGGGCGCCAAATTTGTAATGGTTTCCGTGATGTCTCACTCAAATAGTTCAAATCTCATTTGTCTAATCGGTTTCAGGCAGTTCGTGTGACCAACACGTTATCTAATAGCGAGAAAATAACGTGTGGCGTATTCCGGGGCTCGGTCTTGAGTCCAATCCTCTTTTTGCTGTATATCAACGACCCAACTTCAATCGATATTGATGGCAAATTCACTTTGTTTGCTGATGTCACATGAAATTATTGAGCATGACGTTGAGAAGGTGAGACTTCCACATCGGTCTTCCCATACCTAAATCTACCCTAGTTCAAAAAAGTATTCAATCACCTACCCTTTGACATTCGGGTGTTACAGTCTGAAAAGAGTTTCAAGATCGCGGTGAAAAAAATACTGCTAGCTTGAGCATACTATTCAGTGGAAGAGAGTACTTTCAGGCAGGACACGTTTTAAATTATATCTTTGTTAATGAATACCATGTTTGAACATATTTTGATTTGATTTGGTAACCTTATTCTTGCTTGGCGAAGGTAAATGGTCATCTATGGCCACCCTAAATTCGCCGGACAAAGGACTGGAAGTGGTACTGGCATTCGATAGATAGATCCGTAGGATAAGAAACCGATTACCGAACTACTTCGTTTGCGTACAAAAACCGCCTTACAAATTTGGCGCCCGAGCAGGGACATAACATAACCAATTATTTCCCTTTAAGGATCGGGGTAATGCTTCTATCAGATCGGTAGTAACTGTTGCCCAGGGTTGTGAATTTCGGGATGATTATATCTATAGAGAAATTGATCTAAAATTTCCCGGATCGTCCCAGTCACAACTTCTCTCATGGAGTAGAAGAGTACTTTCAGGACACATTTTATTAAATTGTATATTTGTTAATGAATGGATACCATGTATTTTAAACATTGAATATTTGATTTGATTTAGTTACCTTATTCTTGCTTGGCGAAGGTAAATTTTCATCTTTGGCCACCCTAAATTCGCCAGGCAAAGGACTGGAAGTGGTACTGGCATTCGATATCACCGTGGCCGGTCTGGCCATGGTGAGAATCACTTCCGGCTGAGATAAAGCACTATTGGATTCCTTATTGGTGGAAGACTCGATGGTGTCTGGATTAATGAGCCTTAACAACTCCTCTTGGAAGTTGCTTGAAGTCAAGTTGGCGCTGTTTCTGTTTGATGTTCGGGTAGTGGCACCCGGTCTTAGCTTGGCTTCCCCGTTTAAAGACCTGGGACTTTGGTTTCTTTGATGGTAATTTAAGTGCTTTAATGAACCTCTTGTACGAGGAGAATGATTTCCGCTGCCTGTGGATAATTCGTCTTCACTACCAATCAAATTCATTCTATCGCTAATAGAACTGTCGTTGGATACGTTGTCGTTCATTTGGTTGATGTTGATCCTTGTAAAATCGCCATGGATTTGATAGTCGGCCACTTTTGGAGGCCTAGTAATCTAAAACCCAACAAACTTATAGCACAAAATAGCTGAAAAAAACAACTAACAAACCTGTAAATAATCGTTGTTTTCCTGCTGCCTTAATCTTTCGTTTTGCTGCTTCAATATATTGTTTTTCTCAGTTATAAGTACATCGCTAGTGTTGCTGTGCAAAGCAGCACTAAGCGGTTGCTGATAGTTCGAGTGCTGAAGTGGTAAACTGTTGCTGAATTGGACTTTATTGTGCTGGACTGTGTAGTGGTTGTGTGATGATGGAGCTACCTGGATTGGCTAGAAATTGTCAATAATTATCGTTATAATAAATGTAAAGTAAATTATTACCTGGTGATGATTATTATTGCGTTTTGGTGAACAAGGGAATGTGTTGTTTGTTCGCGAGCTGCTAGATTTGCTTGGTATCGGGGGAGGCTCAAAATCTTGTACAATTTCGTACCATTTATCGTCGTTAGCTTCCACTCCGTTAGCATGATATCGATTCTCTTGGGCATGAAACGATTTACTGCTACTGCCAGTACCGTAACCGGAACTGTTACTGCTGCGCGGCGGCGAAAAACTTCTTTCGTAGACGCGCCTGTGGTGCCCCGAAACTGCTTGTTGCATCTGAGGTGCACGTCGGCTCTTGTTCTCGTCGTTCGTTACGCTGTCGTAGTCGCCTTCGAAATGGGCCTCGTTATATTTACAATTTTGTAAGGTACAGCCTTTCCTAGGAGACCCGTCGGCTAGGGGAGGTATCACAGTCAGAGTTACAGTCAGGGAGGTTTTCAAGAGATCGACCATTTGATCGTAGGTCAAGGTGGCTACGGCGACTTTGCAGATTTCTACTAGGCGGGAGTTTTGTCGCAGGCCCGCTTGCCAGGCTTGACCTTGGTTTTCTACTAGCGTTACGATGCCGTCTGGTTGGACGTGGAAACCCAACTGACCCATTATATTACGACTACAATGAAATAAAACATTATCAGATGAATCTACCAAAATATGTTGCTTGTCAATGTAGGACCAGGCTACTAAACACCTAAGCTTCAGTTGACTGATAGCCAGTTACAAGCTAATTTGTCTTAAGGCCCGTATTCATACAGCGAACAAATGTGGTTGAACAAATTCGTTCAGTTAATATGGACGTCATTACAAACATGATCGAACGTGTTTGTTCGCCTTCGCTAGAGTGTGTTGTAATGAATACGGCTTGACCGCTTTAACTTTGATATTTAAAACAAAATAATCCGCATTTTTTCGCTCGTATGTGGTTCAGGAGGTCCATGCACGAAATTATCTGCAAATAGATCAGAAACATGCTGAAAAACAAACGTCTCACGACGTCCCTATAGGAGGAGAAGGTCGCATAAAAGGGCGCTACAAAATTGGCGCCCGAGCAGGGACCCTCGACCCAGCGAGGGTTGCAGTGGAAGGCTGGTCAATCGGCCCACTCATTTCAAAGCTAGCTTGACAGCTTTTACTTTGATATTTAAAACAAAATATACCTGCATTCTTTCGTTCGTATGTGGTTCAGGAAGTCCATGTATGAAATCATCTGCAAATGGATCAAAAACATGCTGGAAAACAAACGTCTTACGACGTCCCTACAGGGGGAGACGGTCGCACAAAGGGGCGCTACAAAATTGGCGCCCGAGCAGGGATTCTCGACCCAGCGAGGGTTGCAGTGGATGGCTGGTCAATCGGCCCTAACTCAACCTAACCTATGTGGACACAATACCAATTTTATAGCCAAACCTGATCTCACTGGAATAGCGCTAATGGTCTATAAGGCGTTTATAAAGGTACCCTCTATCGTGCCTTCTTTTTGAGTTTTCTGGAAGATTTACAGGAGGTATAGAAGGATTAACTTCCATCTGATTCAACTTCTGATCTCCACTGTAACAAGCTACCTAGTGCACCTGGGCCTTCAACCACAATAATCATGGGGGTGGCGCCCAAGATAACTGTTAAAGCAAAAACAGGAAAAACCGAAAGGGCGCTACAAAATTGGCGTCCGAGCAGGGACCCTCGACCGAGCGAGGTTCGCAGTGTATGACTAACTCAACCTAACCTATGTAAAAACAATACCAATTTTATAGCAAAACCCGATCTCACTGGAATAGCGCTAATGGTCTTACCCACTATAAGTTGTTTATAAAGGTACCATCTATCGTGTCTTCCTTTTGAGTTTTCTGAAGGATTTACAGGAGGTATAGAAGCAATAACTTCCACCATCTGAATCGACGCCTGATCTCCACTATAACAAGCTACCTAGTGCACCTGGGCCTTCAACCACAATAATCATGGGGGTGGCGCCCGAGATAACTGTTAAAGCAAAAACAGGGAAAGCCAAAAAGGCGCTACAAAATTGGCGCCCGAGCAGGGACCCTCAATCCAGCGAGGGTCGCAGTGGCACTCCCCTAACCTAACCTATGTGGACACAATACTAATTTTATAGCAAACGCCGAACAAATTCGGGCGAATTCGTATTCGTTCGCTGTATGAATTCGCGCCTTTATATGTCTAGAAACAATAATTTAATCCCAAACAAAATTACCTAATTGAGAATTCTTTGGCTTTAAGTCCGTTCGTGACGGCTTCTAATCTACTCATAATCTCCACGAGTTCATCAGTATCACCGTGAGTGTCTCGCATGTGGATCGTCATGCACTCACCCTGATGATGGTAAATCCTCAAACTGTTAGTTTGAGGAGACCATCCCAAAATACTCTTGCAAGGCGTCACAAATACTATTTGACGGGTTTGTTCTTCTATTAGCACGAAGGAATCAGAAGAAATACCTACAAAGAAAATATTATATCATCAGTTTCCTGTAATTTCATGTAATTTTTACCCAAAAAACATTCAATTTGTTGTCCTTGGCCGCTGTCGTCTAGTAAAACTTGCCATAAAATGGCACCTCTTTGGCATAGATCCGGTATGAAACGCGGACGGAGTTTGTCTTTCTTTTTGCTGCTAAACAAGGCTGATGGAAAATGGCCTAAATTTAATTTCCTAGATGTAAAGAGGGTTTTGGTACTTACAAAATTTCTGGCCCGTGTCCACTGGTACGTTGCTGGAATAATGCGCTACCAAGTCTTTTAGGTACTCTTGGCGCGTTCTTGTGGCCATTGTGACGAATTTTTCAGAACGGTGAGCTGCATTTTCAGCATTAACCACCTAGAATTTTTCAGTATATTAATTGCCTGTAATTATAATTATAACTAGGTACCTTTGCAAGTAAAAATTCAGCAAAAGCTTTTCCTTTAGGAAACACAGCTCCTTCTTTGATTGGTGGTCCAAACACCTCAACATCTTTGGATCTGGATACTGCAATTTTATAATGCGTGTTTTCTGTGCAAGGATTTATTGCGTTGACCACAATAAAGACGTGCTGAAACTGGGACCGTATGCCTTTGGGTGTAAATGGAAGGGCACCAGGTTCCTGGAAAACTATCGTGACAATATCGTTTCCGATGTGCCGTTTTCTCAAAAGTTGCTGCCTATTGTTTGGTGTAAAGGGCAACATTGTAGAGACGTGGAACATGATTTCACATTCCTGATACTGGGCATAGACTGAATAGAATCCAGTTGAGTCTGCTTTGGTGTCCAGGCCTGCTTTGTATTTGTCAAAGCCTTGTAATTTGACTTTTTTGCCTATTGTTTCTAGAAATTCCGTAAAGGCTGGACCAGCGTCTTGATTGTTGTACATTTCTTCTTCTGATGATTGTCCTGCTTTACAATACATCACACCCACTTTGTAATGATTAGTTAATCCTTGTTCATCAAGTTTCAGCAATTGTTCCACTGTTGTTTGATTTTGCAAGCCTAATCTTAGTGAGTTGAGTTGAATTTCAGGTGTCACATATTCAAGCACTTCTTTGGTATTTAAAGTTTTTGGATTATTGGAGGCCTTTATGTTGGGAATCGCGTCTTCCAGCACTGCGCCTCTCAAAGTTTGAAGCTCTGATGTACGAATAACCAATCTGAAATAATAACTTCTAATAATCATTAGTTATTATTTGAAAAAATTGCTTACCTATACTGGTACTGGGTCAGAGTGGTAGTCAGTTGGTTCTCGGGATGCACGACCTTTTCGCGCCTTATCGATATCGCGACGGGTCCGAGCTGTTCGTCGATTCCGAACCAGTTTTGATGCTCTGCAAAAAGGAAGTCACGTTGTCGCATCAAAAATGCAGATTTTAGCCGGACGATAAACAGGAAATTTGCAATTTTTAATGGCCATCCGGTGTGGCAACTAATAATTGGTATTGGAGTTATACATGGGATAATCAAGTTGTTGAGGACTTTATGTGTCTAAATAAATTAAATCAAAAACCTCCAATAGTTGAATTTTGACTTAAATCGAAAGCCAAATGGTCCATATCATCTATTGAACATTTTTCATAACATAAGCGTGTTTATTTACGTAACGAAGACACTGACATTGATACTAAGACGCGCAAGTTATTTTCGTATAAAATTTCTGAACTTGAAATTACACCTACTTCCTGTTATGACTCCGAAAATAGCCCAAAATTTTTGGCACAGATTAATAATATTCGCTTTACCTTGTCCAGAAAAGTACTTTCTGTAATACAGGGCTCCTTGGTCCACATTTTCTATTGGCCTGGGGAATCTTTGATACGGACACGTGGAATGTCTCCAATGAGTTTCGCCAGTTGGAAATTCCAATATGGCTACGCCATAAGCTAGTTGAGGCCTGTGCAAAGGTTTTCTATGATTTTTGGTGCCGTTTTGCAATCTCGAAAGGCTAACGATTCGTTCTTCTTCGCCTCCGATTTCGTTGCGGAAAAATGGACAACTTTCGATTAACTCATTCGATTGTCCATCACCAGCATCATCCTCACCATCCCCATCTGGTGTAGAGGATCTTATTAGCATAGAAGCAGCAGATGCTCCTGTTGTAGTATTTCTTCTTTTAGCCAAATGATTTCTGCGTAGTCTAATGGAGTAGTTCAAATTGGTAGTCAAAGACTGACAATCAAAATGGGCAAAGGCTCTTCTCCTAGCGATTTCTTCAGCTTCTTGCGAGTAAAGGACACTGGTCGAAGAAGAACTCACCACGCTATCATCCATGGTTTGACGTTGCGATTTTACCATGACGTGGTTGTTACCGTTTGCAACATTATTATTGCCCCAAAACTTGGTCAATTTGCTTCGCAGCTTCGGACTTTGGGGATAGTTCCCCCCATGAGCGTTACCGTCTTGCTGGTCTTCCGAGTCTAGTTTGCCTCGCAGGTATTCGGACGGTCCCGGGCTTCTTTGGTCGGTTTCGGCTAACACTGCCGGTCTGTAGTCTTGGAGCATTTCGAAAAACTCATTTTTGCCTGCGAAAAAAGTGAATTAATTGATGTTCTACCACCCACTAACTGAATCAGATGAGTAATCTTCAAAACTAGTGAACAATGATTGACCTTGTTTATAAATGTGTGACCGAAATAATTGCCTATTTTTGCCAATGACTCATAATCTTTTATTGTCTTGTGGCAGTAATTATTCGATGTTATTTTATATATTATATTATATAATTTATATATACAGAGTGATTGATGGTTGATGGTAGGTTAGACGCTTATGGAAAAGCGGAATGTTGGATGTTTTTGAAAATTTACATGCCCAAGTAATGGCTCTTGATCTATTATTCTAAAATAATTTCGACGATGCGACGTTGGATATGAAAACCGATGCTGAAGCTTGGTATCATCGAACCGTCAAACAGTCCTTGGTCTTCACTGGTGGTAATGGTAAAGAATAAGGATGGTTTTTTCCGCCTTTGTGTTGATTACCGCAAGTTAAATACCGTTTGCGAAAGGGATCGCTACCCCTTACCCCAGATCAGTGAGATCCTAGATGCAAAATATATGTCTAGTCTCGATATTGAGTCAGTTTACTGGCAAGTTCCTATTGCTGAGAGTTCTAGACCTTTACAGTACCAAACAGAAGATTGTTTCAGTTTAAAAGACTTCCTTTTGGCCTGCATAACGCTCCTGCAACGTGGCAGCGATAAAGCGACAATGTCTTGAACCGCACGTATTCATCCTGATAATATTGTCATCGTGTCATCAGATTTTCCGACACATTGTTGCGTCTTAGAGGAGGCATTCAGAAGACTTCGTAAAGCCAACCTGACCGTCAGTAAAGAGAAGTGCCAGTTTTGTATCTCAGATGAAGTATTTGGGATATATAGTTGATAGGCATGGCCTACATGTTGACTCTAACAAGGTTAAGGCTATGATGAAAGTTCCAGTTCCTAAAAGTGACGGATAATTGGTACGTTTTCCTGATATCGGAGGCGCCAATCACGTCATTACTCCGTAAATCTAGCAAGTTTGCCCGGTCGGAGGAGTGTGAATCTGCTTTCAAGAAAATTGAAGAGTGTTTAGTGGAAGCACCAGTATTGAGCTGTCCAGATTATTCTTTACCCAGTGTGATGGTTCCATATTTGGATTAGGCGCTGTTCTGGTGCAACCACACAACCAAATGGTATCCAACGTGTTATTAGCTACTTGTTCAACAGGACGAGAACAAAACTACTCGACCACGGAAAGGAAATGTCTTACAAACTACGTCCTTATCTGGCTCTGGTTCCATTTTTTGTGATAACTGATCATTACTCTGGCTGGACAACATAAGGCAACCTACGGGTAGGCTGGCTAGGTGGCAAGTGTAGTTGCCGATTTCAAGCGTATTCACCGCAAGGGCAAGGAACAAGTGCCAGATATGTTATCCAGAGCTGTCCCAAAATTGGATACCGGACCGCTTATCAAGGATAAATGGTACCTTAAAGTGATTGAAAAGAGTCGAATCCCTTTAGATTTCCAAGTTGGAGGGTTGGTGATTCTGGATTGTGAAAGTTTGTGAAGTGTGATTATTTGAATTTGAGACCTGAGGTGGATAATTGGAAGTGGATATTCTTACAAAATTTGATTTTATATAATAAGTTATTGTTCAGGTACAAATAAATGGATTATTGCGGAACTCATGGGTGGACCTCTGCGGGACGAGCGCAGCGAGTTCCGCAGCCATCTATTTACCAATATACTGTTGAACTATTCAAATAAGACACTCACCTGAAACGTGTAGTTTTTGAACTGATAAGAATAACTCACATTTGAGTAAGTCAGGTAAGTATCGTATTTGAACAATATATTGGTGAATAGATGGCTGCGGAACTCGCTGCGCTCGTCCCGCAGAGGTCCACCCATAAGTTCCGCAACAATCCACTCGTTTGTACTTGAATAATGTCAACAACTTATTTCATCGCTGTTTGACGACTATGTACTTTCAATGGCAAAATGAATTCTTCGAGCAGACAGATGGACTCGCAATGGGGAGTCCACTCATCCCGGTTATCGCTAACTTCTACATGGAACACTTCGAACAAAGTGCACTGCGAACTGCCACAAAGAAACCTACTTGTAGATGATACCTTTGTTATTTGGAACCCTGGACCAGTCAGAGCTCGAAAATTCAATAGAACCCAGGATACAGTTTACGATGGAAGTTGAAGATAACAAAATAATTGCATTGCTTAAGATTACCCTCAGGGAAACTGGGATAAAGAGTATATAGGAAGAGGACGCATACGGACAGATACCATAACAAGGAATTTACTCACCATCCTAGGCAAAGGAGAGCAGTCATTAGGACTATCTGACAGGGCAGTTTAATTTGTGAACCCAAATACCTTCAGGACGAGATGTAACACCTGAAATCAAATGGGTACTCCAAGCAGGAGATAAATAGAGCTATAAGACCGAAGCAACAGCGCATAAATGATAAGGAACCAGCATAGCCTTTTCTTCCTACATCAAAAATGGCACAGATCGTAGATTTGTCCGGCCATGAAAACCTTCATTCTTCAATTACTCAGTATATGATATTCACCACTATAATTTACCTTGAACACCGACAGGTCTGTCAATAACATCGATAGATCCGTGACTGCCGTACTCCCTCTTCAACGTAGGACTGCTGGATTTGAACGGTCTTCCGTTCTGATCCAACAGCTCCAAGCTGGAATTGCTTCTGTACAGCGCTTCAGAAATCAATTGGTTCGATCTTTTTGAAGTCTGATGATGATGCCGATCGTTGAAGGATGATCTCGATGTCGAAAGTCCGGCGTTGGCCCAAGCCCTAGAAGAATAGTAATTTTTTTAACTACTGCGCAAAGCATTTCCAATTTATGCGCAGTAGAAATAAATCCTCACCTGTGCACGTGCGTGTTGTAGTAGTCGACAGCTTGAGCGGTTCTTTCACGGGTTCTATTGGTCGGCAGGGGCGCCCTCGGCGGCGCTGGTCCGCACTCTTGCAATCCGATCATCCCATCACGCTGTGGAACAATTTTTAAATAATTCAAACAATTCTGGAACCATAACCTACATTATATCGTAGGTGGAGATACGGTCGATGTCGTTTCCGACCCATTTCCGGCAGACAATATTTTATATCTGAGTTTAGATTCATTCAACTCAATTAATCAAGAGCCGAGAATAGACAAATTTTGAATACTATAACATTAAAACTCCACCAACAAGAGAATGGGTATAACAAAAGGCAAATCGGGTACCTATAATAATCGAAACCGAGGCACCACGGTCATGGTTTATTTGTGCCACGATATTACGAGGTTTCTTTGTTACTAAAGTCAACGCCCCACCGACTGAGAGACAGACCATACCGTCATCAAATAGCAGAATCTGCAGAACTATACAGAATCTAATTCAATTTGTTAAGGAAACAATCATTTACAATCAAGAGGAGGATGCACTTGATTTAAATTGTTTCAACGAATTTTTGTTAATACGTAGAAGTAATTAAATTATTGTAGATGGACTCTGATAGCTATTTTTTAATTTGCTTAATGCTTTTATGTATCTGGCACGCAAAATAATGACTTTCCTCGTAAAATTACACTCATGTACTGTGTTGTTGACCTGCGGTCGAAATGCGGGCTGTTGGACAAAAGAAATTTCATTTTAACGAATAATGAATATTGTCTAGGCTGGGGTAACTTTCGTTTTAATGTTGTGTTGTTATTATGATTGCAACTTTCTTCTAAAAAATCGTGAATGAGTAAAATTTTTAAAGAACCCAAAAAACCAGTTTGTGGTATCGGCAAATAACATCGGAAAGATGACTCAAGCTTTTGAACCACCAAGAATTTATTGTCGCTTCACTCGCATTCCATCGGTGGTTCCTCTCTTGCCTCTTCTTCTTCATTCTTCGAACTTCTTTTGTTGATTATTCACCAGGTAGGAATTCTAGGGTCGCAACCGTGTTATACTCAAACTAATAGAGTGACACACATTTATTTGTTCTCTCCTTGACACTCCCCATCAGCAAAGTTTAATTTGTGCAATCTAATTACTTCCATTATCATTCAAAAAAAAAGATATCGGTCGTCTTATCGATGTTTTCATAGAATTAACACAATACAGCCATTAAAATAGTGGTGAGGCATTAAAAAAAGCTAATTTGCAATTCACCTAAACAATGGCCAAGGTTACGAAAATATGTTCGTCTTTGTTTAATAATAATCATCGGATTGAAAACTCGATTTGGGTACAGGCAATGTTTTGTAGTCTAATGAAATAATTTTTTGTATACTCTGTTTCCAATTCAGTAGTGTGTCAGTGACATTTACGTAATATACCTACAATGCTCACCCTGTTTTCATTTATGACTCCTAACGAAAAAGAAACATAGTATAGCACTATATTTGAGTATCTCTAGTTCACATCAAGGCCTATTCACACCAATCTCAACAAAGTTACTGTTAAAAAAAACATGATCCCAGAACAGAAAAAGTAGAGCTGTATTCTAGGTCTCTGGAGGATGTAGATCGTTCCTTTGCACAAATTATAATGTATAATATGTAAAACTATGATTCTATTGTGTATTGTACAAAAGACAAGCTCGAGGGTGAAAGTAAATGGTCATTGAAAGGGTAAAAAGTGACCCTGTTTTGTATCCCTTGCAAGGGGGCACATTTTTAGATATTTTCCCAACCAGTTGCAAAAGTTCTTACGAATGTAGAACCATTAGAGAATATACAGAACTGTATGATTATTTAAAAACTGTACATAGGATTGGATTCATACTAACATGGAAAGGTTAAGGGAATAGTCAGAAACAGAAAAATATCAGTGGCGTACAGTCGATCGACCTACGAACGAATGAAGAACCATACAAGAATATACTAAACTGTATGATTATTCAAAAACTGTATGTACAAATAAGTGGATTATTGCGGAACTTATGGGTGGACCTCTGCGGGACGAGCGCAGCGAGTTCCGCAGCCATCTACTCACCAATATACTGTTGAACTGTTCAAGTAAGACATTCACCTGAAAGGTGTAGTGTTTAAACTAATGAGAATAACTCGAAATATCGAAAATCAATTGTACAATCTAAGGCCGGTCTCACACAACCAGAATGTCTTTCTGAATTCAGAAACAGAATTCAGGATGACACATTGCCTCACACATATCTTAAAAACTCCGCGTCCAGTATTCGCCTAGTCTGAGGCATGTTTTGATCGATGTTGGTTGGAAGGGAATAATTTGTGGGGATCTTGCCATCAGGGTCCTTATTCTCAAAATTGGGGAGCTGGGTTCCTAGGTTCTTTTCTTCGTCGCTCATATTCATATTTCTATAACACTGACAAAGACAAAGCAATCGTTTTCATGAGAACATGGTTCTCCGGTTTCGAGCATAGACATCCAGAACAAATTTCAGTTTATACATAAAATCTATTTTTGATTATTGTCATTACGAGTTTGTTCGTATTCCATTTGGTCTCAAAAACGCTCCATCAACATTTTAGGTAGAGAACGTTGTTTGTTACACTTTGATGGATTGGATTGGTCACAAATATCAAAATTTGTGTAAACCACAATCTATATTTCAATGTAACCTTAAGGTACAGAATAAACCACAGAACCCTGACCCTAATACAATAAAGTTCTCTTTATTTACGGTGGATGTGAATCTTGGAGCCGAATTTATAGTCGTTCCTTGAATCTTCCTTGGAGTTGTGAGTTTAGAATGGACACTTTTCGTATTTAATTTAAGGGTACCTTAACAGTCTCAAAGTAACATTGAAATACCCGAACCTGTCAAGATAGGTATTGCTAAAGTTGAATAAGTAGGTACCCACTACCAGATTTATTAATGAATAAAAAATTTCAAATTTTTAATATTCTTGACTTTTGATGTGAATCTACAGATTCACCTGAAGAAACTGATTTCATATTTCATGTTTAACTTAGGAATACCTTAGCTAAATCTCAAAGTAACATTGAAATACCAAACCTGTCAACTTAAGTTTATACATAAGATCTATCTGTGGTAAGATATCTTTGATTATTGTCATTACGAGTTTGTTCGTATGCCATTTGGTCTCAAAAACGCCCCATCAACATTTTAGTTAGAGAACGTAGTTTGATTCACTTTGAAGAACGGTATTGATTGGATTCGTCACAAATATCAAAATTTGTGTAAACCACAATCTATAAGAGTAAATTCCGCCTATATGTGAATAATCAAAAGCTCGGCCATTGATAATAATAGACAGAGAGAATGATGGCATAGAGAGGGAGAAAAAATTAGGCAGATATGTTTCAAGGGCTTCAAAATTTCCTTTCAAGTGCGGCTAGATCAATCGGTAAAGTCCTTGTTAGTTAACAAAAACCTTAGACTGTTTCAACGTCAGTATACTAGTGTTTTTGTGTGGCACAATCTAAGGTTATTGTTTGTTAACAAGGACTTAACTAACGATTGATCCCGCCACACTAAGATAACTAAAATATCTCAAAATGAAAAAAAATATCAAAAAATTGTCCAAGTTCGACATGACTGACATTACCATTAGAACAAGACAATCAAAAATCAAAAATAAAATGGTGAATTAAGTAAGGGCCGGTATTTCAATGTAACCCCAAGGTACAGAATAGCCCACAAAACCCTTACCCTAATACAATATAGTTCCCTTTATTTACGGTGGATGTAAATCTTAGAGCCGCATTTCTAGTCGTTCCTTGAATTTTTCTTGGAGTCGTGTCTATGGACTGGATTTGTCACAAATATCGAAAAGATATAATTTGTGGAGGTCTTGCTATTAGGGTCTTTATTCTTAAAATAGGGGAGCAGCGTTCTTATGAGTTATTTTCTTCGTCGCTCATATTCATATTTCTATAACACTGACAAAGACAAAGCAATCGTTCTCATGATTACACGGTTCTCCGGTTTCGAACGTAGACATTCAAAACAAACATCAGTATATACATAAGATCTATCTGGCTTAAGATATCTTTGATTATTGTCATTACGAGTTTGTTCGTATGCCATTTGGTCTCAATACGCCCCATCAACATTTCACTAGAGAAGATTGTTTGTTTTACTTTAAAGAACGGTTAGGTACCCTATGGATAGGATTCGTCACAAATATCGAAAAGATAGAAAGGGTAAAGGTAAAAGGTGAATTTTGCATGAAAACTCATCCCCCCTAAAATTATAGTTGACGTGTTTCAGGAATTTTCCCGAAAATTTTTCTCCTTCGAGATAATAGGGGTGGTAAGTTTTAAAATGAACACCCTGTATAGGTACAATTCTGTACTGAATTCAAAAAGACATTCCAGCTGTGTGAGGCCGGCCTAAAAGTCTAATTCCCAGATACCGGAATATACTTTTTTTTTTGTGCTTATTTTCAAATTGAAATGTTAATTTTTTTTCGAGCCTTTTTTGGGGCCTCACCTCCCACCGGGCCCAAGGCCCGGGCCTTATGTGTCTTTTGGTAAAATAGGCCCTGGAAACTGTATGATTATTCAAAAACTGTACATAGGATTGAATTCATACTAACATGGAAAGGTTGAGGAAATAGTCAGAAACAGGAAAATACCAGTGGCATATCCTCGATCGACCTACGAACCATTTACACGATTATCATTACTCAACTAGAACAATAAACAAATTTATTATGGAATGTCATGTGGGAGGCTTATGGTTTGTTAATATTTCTCTATGACATTAACAAACAATAGATTGTTAATTAATATAGAGGTTCAATTCTTTTACAGGAATTTTCGTAACTTTAATTATGAGTTTTGTATCATGAAGTAATTTCATTTAACAAATCCTGAAAGTTTCAAATTACTGGAATACGTGAAAGTAAACAATAGATTAATTAATATAGAAGTTCAATGTCTAGTTTGAAAATTCTTGCAATATGAGAAAAAGCTGTCATTATCCACATACGTGGACCATCTGCCTTAAAAACGATATACGTATCCTTGTTTGCGGATCGAGTTTGCTTTAAACCATCTGCCTCATTTCGCTGTTTGACTTGTATATAGCAAAAAAGCTTGTATAACTGTCTATTTTCATAATTATTATTTAATATCTTCTTCGTGTGTGATAAGTTTAACGAGAACAGTACATCTAAATTAGCCCAGGCAGATGCCAGCGAGTTTAATAAACTTTATATAAAAATTGCTCTATTTTTACCATTTAAAATCAAATAAACAATGGCGGAATATTGTATTACTCAAGCCATGTGTTACAGGCACAGGCAGATGTAAAAATATAATATTGTAATTTGTTTGCTTTATCTATAATTGGGGCATCTACTATAACTCAATAACTTCCTGTACATTTTATGAAAATTATGCCTGCAGCACCATGAACAAATTGATAAGATAACAAACAAGTTTATTGATTTTCCTGCTTTCGCAGGTGTTTAGGCTTTGATAAGGATTCTATAAATTGAATTAAGCCTCGTTTCTACAGTAAGTTTTCACAAAATAAACAGATCAATTGACTTGATTGTTGTAAAGACAGACAGTCGCCTGCAAAGGTCAATTTCGTTATTAGCATCAATTTTAAACCAGCAGGGGCTAACGGTCACTGCAAATGCGTATTTCGACACACTTTAGCATGGATCTAGTTCATAGGAATTATCTATAGCATTGATGTCTATAGCCATTTCCTGTGTATATTTGTGACCGGAAAAGTGGATTTTTTTACAGTTATTCTTAAAAATTAACGACCATATCTTAATACCTACTTAGTTTTTAATCAACAAACTGATTTGAGGAAAAATCAGATAAATTGACAACAATGGAAATTTAAGACAAATATTATAAATATTATCGCATGTAAAACTTCTAGAAAATTAGTTCCTGTTAATTTCAAACCATTGACTTCTAATTAAAATGAATAAAACTGTAATAAGAACATTCTAGGAATAGTATAAGGCTTCCGCAAAACAAAAAAAATGCTGTTATGAATCTGTTAAAGCAGTAATTACAATAGTTAATGCATGAAAAAGTATTATTCTAATACACCGGAATTAGGTAGTTATACAATTATTATTTTCACACAATGGAAAAAAAAATTGAACATTACTGGTTTAATATTGATCATCTTTCCTTGAAAAATAAGAATTATGTGAACATCGACAGAAAAAGTGGGTTACGCAACACGATGGTTAATTGTTATAACAATGGCCAAACAAGAAATCTGTAGAGGAACAATGGCAGGAAATATTAAGTTTGTAAACGGACGAAAACTAAGAAAATTGCAGGAACTTTGCCCACTGTAATCTCAAAAATCGAAATTTCCGACCCTATACTCTATTTTTTAGGTCTATAAACCTAGCAGTCCCAAAGTGGAAAAAAACTTCGGGAACTATATAATAATTAGGTGCTTTTTAGGTGCTAATTAGGGCTTCTAATTAAAAATTAGGTGCTCCTCTAGTTTTTGAGAAAATCAAAAAAAACTAAGGGATTGCTAGGTTTCTGAAAGCTAGTATTCCCCTATAGTGAAAAATATTTTTCCAAAAATTTCTTTTGTATCAGAATTAGGTGCTTTTTAAGTGCTCCTAAATAGTCCAAGAAAAAATAGAATTCATTAATTATTAACTGAGTTACAGATTTTTTTTTAATTATTAGAGGACTGTTGGCTTTACGTTTACTTGTTGGTGTGTCAGAATGGCGAAAAAACTTCGAGATCTATATAATAATTAGGTGCTTTTTACGTGCTAATTAGGGCCTCTAATTAAAAATTAGGTGCTCCTCTAGTTTTTGAGTAAATCAAAAAAAACTAAGGGATTGCTAGGTTTATGAAAGCTAGTAGTCCCCTATAGTGAAAAATATTTTTCCAAAAATTTCTTTTGTATCAGAATAAGGTGCTCCTAAATAGTCGAAGAAAAAATAGCCTCCACCTTGGGACTGCTAGGTTTATAGACCTAGTTCATTGACGTGCCAAGAATGGGTAGTAAAATTTACAAATTTAGAAATCCGGAAACCCATTGTTTGACTAGGGGATTTTTCGAGTAGGTATAGATCAAGTCGTTCGGGTGGGTTTTCTTGAAGAACTATTGGGGTTTAAATTTGATTTATCGTACCCAGTCATTTAAAAATAGACTATAGTTCTGTTTAATCAATTATTCCAATAAACTGGTTCCAAAGACACTTTCGAAAATCCGTGAAACGGAAGATAGAATCGCATTAGGAGACTGGTTTTTCCTTTAATTGATCGAATCGCGAGAATAAGAGAAATGTCAATCCGAATAAGGACATTTACGACTTTGAACTTGAACGCTGAACAATTTTTCTTGTAAGAGATTCATATAATTTGGTACCACAAATCGTTTCACGTACAGAGTTCGTTTCCGTTGTTGCATCGACTAATTAAGCATACTAATGAGTTGATTAATATTGTTTACAGTTAGGGCGTTAAATGACCTCCATATCTTCGTTATCATTTGTTAATTCAGTACTTATTGACACAAATTTAGACTGAAAAAAAATACCGTTATGTGGGCGGATAAATAAGGTTATCTGCTCGCTTGAGTAGTACCACAGCGCGTCATTTACTTAGGTACCAACCAATTGTTTGACCCTGTGTACTAAATTTTGTACAATTTCTACTGCAAATTGTTTCAGGTACTCACGCCTTCGTTCTGTGAAGTCTTTTTTTGTCGAGGCACACAAAACAACGTCACCTTCAAGCCTTCTGAGTATCCGTTTAAAAAAAAAATTGTCCCAAAACAAAAACAAAAACTGAACACTCAAGTATATGTATGTATATGGAAAATTAAGTCAATAATAAGAACCAATCGCGACGATTTGCTAAAGCAAAAATTTAAAAATAATAATTATAAAAATAAAGCGGAAATGAAAATATAAAATTAAAAAAAGAAAAACGAGCGCGACGTGGTCGTCGAAGACCAGCGTTTTGTGCGGCGCACCGAGGTTCACGTCGTGCAAGATTTTAACCGCTCCGCCGCCACCGCACAGCTACAGCGGAGCTGGAATAGCTATCGCGAATTGTACGAGAATTGTACGAATGGAACTGTACTCTTTTGTCGCTACAATACACTGATCAGTCAAACATGAACTGGGCCCATAACCTGTTTTAAAAGTTATGGCCATTTCAAGAAGAGTAACAACTGTAATCTTACATTTCACATTTCTGACATTCAAATTTTGTTTCTGACCATGGTTTCTAAAAATTCAGCTAAAACTTTTGTATTTACACCTTTCTTCTACCTATGAAGGTAAAGGCTGTAGGTGGGGTGTTAATATATAAAAAAACACCCTGTACAAATAAGTGGATTATTGCGGAACTTATGGGTGGACCTCTGCGGGACGAGCGCAGCGAGTTCCGCAGCCATCTACTCACCAATATACTGTTGAACTGTTCAAATAAGACACTCACCTGAAACGTGTAGTTTTTCAAATTAATGAAAAAATTCTCAACTGAGTGAATCAGATTAGTATTGTACTTGAACAACATATTGGTGAATAGATGGTTGGGTCCACCCATAAAAACTTGTCACAATATATTATTAGTTTGGTATAGTAACATTACTAATTCCTGTTGAAAGGCGAATTGACAAAAAGTGAATAATCATAATCTTACAAATTCTGACCTTATATAATAAGTTATTGTTCAAGTAGAAATAAGTGGATTGTTGCGGAACTTATGGGTGGACCTCTGCGGGACGAGCGCAGCGAGTTCCGCAGCCATCTAATTATCAATATACTATTGAACTGTTCAAGTAAGACATTCACCTGAAATGTGTAATTTTTAAACTAATGAGAATAACGCACATTTGAGTGAGTTAGTTCAGTATCGTAATTAAACAACATATTGATGAATTGATGGCTGCGGAACTCGCTGCGCTCGTCCCGCAGAGGTCCACCCATAAGTTCCACAACAATCCACTTATTTGTACTTGAATAACTTGTCACAATATATTATTAGTTTGGTAAAGTAACATTACTAATTTCTGTTGAAAGGCGAATTGACAAAATGTGAATAATCATAATCATAATCTTATAAGTTCTAAGACCCTATAAAATAAATTATTGTTCAAGTACAAATAAGTGAATTGTTGCGAAACTTATGGGTGGACCTCTGCGGGACGAGCGCAGCGAGTTCCGCAGCCATCCAATCACCAATATACTATTGAATTGTTCAAGTAAGACATTCACCTGAAATATGTAATTTTTAAACTAATGAGAATAATGGACATTTGAGTGAGTCAATTTAGTATCGTAATTAAACAACATATTGATGAATAGATGGCTGCGGAACTCGCTGCGCTCGTCCCGCAGAGGTCCACCCATAAGTTCCGCAACAATTCACTCATTTGTACTCGAATAACTTGTCACATTATGTTACTAGTTTGGTAAAGGAACATTACTAATGTTTTTTTATGTATTGATACCCCACCTAAAGCCTTCACCTTTACAAGTAGATGAAAGATATAAATACAAAAGTTGTAGGTACAGTATTGGCTAAATTTTTAAAATCCATGGTCAGAAACAAAAATTGAATGTCAGAAATGTGAAATGTTGCATGCTTTCAGCTCTTTTCAAATGGTTCTATATTCTTGAAGAGCACAATTTCCCGATTCCAAAACTATATAGTTTGTCTATATTTGGTTGAGCCGTCTCCAACATATTTGGTTCTAAAAATTTTAAAACTACTATTAAAGAAACCAAGTACCTCAAATTTTACCTGCAGCTTTCACCTGTATAGGTAGAATGATTCACAAAATCATTAGGATAGTATTTTCACAATTTTTGGTGCCGAATATATGAGACACTGTTCAATCAAATATAGACAAATTATATATTTTTGGAATCTTCAAGAATATAGAATGAAATATAGGGCATCCCATGGAGTTATGACCATTTTAAAAAGAGGAACCTTGCATTTTCCCTTCGAAAACATCCAAGCCTTGTATTTCAGACCATGACAACAAATTCTAACATAAATACACAATGAACGACTCGTCTAAGTATGTCCTAAACTTCGTACAATTCTACGGTACATCGCGTCGCTAACCCAATAGCTTCCCCTACTATCCAGTGTACATAATCCAACTTAAATGCCGCAAGTCATGTGGCAAGCAAATGTCGACTCAAGTTTTCAATGGCATAAGGATTTTATTGCCGTACGACGGTTTCGTTACGTGCATTTAAAACCCTGAGGATTCTTTGTGTTGTTACCTGCTGCGCTCAGGCCCTTTTGTCAATAATAAAAAGGTCGCTAGAAGTTAACGAAAGTCCATCTGGGGTACTTATAAAGAGTAATTTTTTGATTTATGGGGGTTTGAGATTTTGGAATACTTTTGACACTATGGCGAATTCGTACAACAATGAACTTTGATATAAAAAAAGTATAGTTTCTTATACAATGAGCATGTTCTCCTACAATTAACCCAAACAGGTCAATCGGTCCACAGAGATACCAAAAAATCTATTAACCTAAATGAATTTTTAATACACACACCAAAATTCCATGCGTTTCTCGCATTAGTCATTGAAGTGTTTTTGTGCATTCAACGTTGATAGTTGGATTTTTTGCCACTGAAATAATTGACCTCAATGAACGCGTGTAATCGCTAAAAATACAACAAATAGTTGACTGTTCGGGTTGGGTTTTATTTGCAAACATGCCTGAAAATGACGTTAAAAGTTCTAAAAGAAAGCGAAATTGGTGTTGTTATTGTTGTTGGTCACTGGAACAAGAGCCGTATCAACTGAATAAGGTAAAATTTAGGTTGTTTGCGTGTCCATTACAATACTAGTGTGTCATATTGCAATTTCAACACCTTGTAAAGAAATGAAACGTGAACATTTTATAGATATCTTAAGGCCGGTATTTCAATCTTAGCTTTAGCTAAGGTACCCTTAATGTTGAAGTTAACCTGATGAGCCTTAAAAGTCCACCTTGAATTGAACTGATTTTAAGTTCACCTTAACGTTAACAGTACCTTTACAGCCATTTGCACCGCTATAACTTAAGGGATATTTGATCCTAGTGAAGCTTTGAATGTGATTCTTGTAGGAACAAAATTCACATTCAAAGCTCCACTTAGATTGAATATCCCTTAAGTGATAGTTGAGTGATAACCGTGCAAATGGCCATTAGGTAAATCCGATTTTAAGGTAAATTTAGTGGAATTGTATTAAGGGAAGACCTAACGTTAATCTGTACCTTAAGACTAATGACTCTAATTTGACTTCTGAATATTGCGCAAAACTCTCAGTAGAAAATGTATCATGGAAAATGGAAACTGTAATTATTTCCCTTTGCGCAAGTAAACTTTTCCAGGCACTGATGGTCAATTTTTTTTCGGAATTGTTTGAAAACTTCCCTAGATGGTTGCGAGAAACGTTCGCCATAAAGGTAGGACTTTCAGTGTAGCTTAAACATCGATTTTTTTATTGTTTTTTAAAAGTTTTTCTAATGACACACACGTCAGTATATTGACAATAATTTTAAAGCAGAGTACACAATTTGAAAATAAACATCTTGTGATCGATGTAGTAATGGAGTTCAGTGTGCGACATCAGGTACAATAATAATTTGGCCTTCAACTACATACAAAACACGCAACTGCAACAGAAAAAATAAGATCAACATCACAATAATGTACCACCAAATCTTACAATACTTGCAATTGCTAATAAAATCCGGCTCGAAGGACCATTTGCTCACGTTCACTGTATCGAGTCACGACCAAATTTGCGTGTCGATTGTCGTTTTATTATTGGCTCGCCAGCTACGTAGCAAAGATGGCCACCGACACGTAAATATTTAGTGTATTAGTAATAATGGAGGTGGCTTCGGACGCTCTAGATTTCGATTTTTGTTTTGTTGATTCGCAGGTAGCCAAGCTAGCGGAACCCGATGCGATTTACGGCCGAGAGCTACAAGAACCGCTGGTGCCCGGGTCTTGTGTTGTCATCAGAGGCACAATCCGGCCGCAATGTAAAAGGTTAGATTAGAATCTAAGAGGTTATGGTGCTTTGTTTTTAATGTTTTTAATGTTTCTAGTTAATGCATTATTGTGTATTGATTTCTCTGTGCCTTCTCTGTCGGTGTATTTTAGAACTTGCATGGATCAATAGAGCGATGAGAGTCGAAATAGTGCGATATTTTTAGTGTAGATGGCCTAACATTATCATTTTTCATTGCTTGAATCCAGATTTAACATCAACCTCTCTGATACTAAGCTTTTAGTCTCAGACAAAATTATAAAACAACCAATTTTTTTAGATTTGCAATAAATCTAATCCACGTTAAAACCCCTTACAAATCGGACATTGTCTTCCATTTTAATCCTAGATTAGCTTTAAGGTAAGTTTGTGCCTTTGCATCAACCACAATTAAGCTTAACAAGTCAACTTTTAGATACATAGTGAGAAATTCTCGTATAGGAAACTCGTGGGGAGACGAGGAGATAACGTCCATTGAAAAGTTTCACTTGGACAGGAAAAAAGCGTTTGATTTGCAAATCGTGGCCACACAAACCGAGTTTTTGGTAGCGGTAGACGGACGTCACGTGTGCGCTTACGTTTACCGCGTACCGTTGGAGAGAGTTAACAGAATTGAAGGTGAGAGTCTGGAGGACCAAATCCCATAATCAAGGAATTTATTCCAGAAAGTAGTGGAATAACAAGGGAAAAAAAAACGAGATGAGACTTGATTACGAGTGAGTTGTCAAACAACAGGGCCCTTATTCTTGGAGCAAAAGCATGAAGAAGAAGGTTCTGTCTTAGTCGTTCATATTTATATTTCGATAAAACTGACAAAGACAGTAAGTAATCGTTCAAGGAAGAACGCCCTGGTTTCGAGAATAGACATCCTGGAATTTCATAGAATCTTACTGAACTCCCAAGGCTAGTAACTGGTTATGCTCCTCCTATGGCACTTGCTGTCTTTTTCTCTCATCTTTTTCTCAAAATCAATAGAGGGGAGACGACAATTGAGATAAAGATATTGATCACTGTGAGTCCCACAATATCCTACTAGGTTCTTATCCTCGAAACAGGGAAGCAGCATTCTCATAAGAACGAAGGTTCTGTCTTCGTCATTTCCATTAAACTGACAAAGACAGAGCAATCGTTCTCATGAGAATGCTATTCCCCGATCTCGAAAAACGACATCCTGAAATTTCATAGAATCTTACTGAGATCCCAAGGCATCCTTCTCAACTGGGTCTCTGTAACTGATAGAGATTGTTATTCTCCACACTTGCTGTCTTTTTCTCTCATATTAAAATCAATAAAGAGGAAACAACAATAGAGATAGAGATATTGATCGCTATTCGCTACAGAGTCCCAGCCCTCCTGGAATTCTACAATATCCTATTGGGTCCTTATTCTCGATACAGGGGAGCAGCATTCTCATCAGAACCTAGGGTTTGTCTTCGTCACCCATATTGATATTTCCATAACACTGACAAAGACAGAGCAATCGTTCTCGTGAGAAAAATATTCCCTGGTTTCGAGAATAGACATCCTGGGCTGAGACTCTGTAACGAATACAGATATTTTCTCTACTTCTCCATTGACGTCCTCTCTCTATTGACTTCGGAAAGACAGAAAAAAAACAGTAACTGCCATAGCAATAGGGATAATGATCTCCTCAACAAAGTCCCAGCCCTAGAAACCCATAAGATAGGCAATTTTACGCGAGGATAACAAAGCATACTCCATAGTCCCCTAACTCCCCCACCATCAAATTCTGGGATACTTGAGGATCAAGAGCGCTCAATTTCTTCTTTAAGAACAGATCAAAAATCACCCTTTCTAGATTAAAAATCGACGAAAAAATTAACTCACTAGCACAGCCTGAATCGCAAACATTCCATGGAGGTCTGCGGGTGACGTCACTTGCAGGCCCAAAACTTGATGGAGGAAGAGTTAGGGGAGTATAACACAATTGACACATCACCATAACTCAGCATACTCGAGTATAGTAGAAAAATTGCCTAATCCACCTGAAATCTTAAGGCATCCTACTGGACTGGGACTATTTGCTGTATTTTTCTCTCATATCGAAATCACGCTATTAGCTATAGAATCCCAGCCGTCTGGAATCCCAACTTGTCCTACTGGGTTCTTATTCTCGAGACACAGGAGAACAGGGATAAAATTGCCTATAGAAAAATTTAACAGCGATGCAAGAGCCTGGGAATAGTTCACATGTTGAATCACTACTAGAGATTTTTTCTAAAACAAGTGGCCATAGTCCTAAAGCCCAAATTGTCCAATGCATCAGAAACTAGTAATGAAAATTTGGAATATTCCTGGCTCTTGGTGGACAAATTGAACAGCGATTCAAGAGCCTGGAATAGTTCAAATGTTGAATCACTACTGAATCCTGAATTGCTGGAGATTTTTTCTAAAATAAATGGCCATTCTTGGCTGGATTCGGTAATTGCATCTGCGAGCAAATATTGACAGATGTCACGTAATTTGACACCTGAAAAAAGATACGTGATCACGTGACGTCCTTTTGTTCGCACATGCAATTACCGAACTCAGCCATTATAAGAACGTAGGATCTGTCTTCGACACCCATATTGATGTTTCCGCAACTCTGACAAAGACAGAGCAGTTCTTTTCATGAAAAAGCTATTCCCTGGTTTCGAGAATAGACATCCTGGGCTGGGAATCTGTAACGAACCTGAGATATTTTCAAAATTTAAAAACTAGTCCATTCTTCTCACAGGGGAGCAAAAAGTAAAACAACTTTCACAATTTTATATGTAAAATTCAGTTTTGTAATTTCACTACGAGTACATGTTTCGGATAATGTATATCCATCTTCAGCTCTAAAATGAAACTGATATTATGAGTTTGAGAAAAACTCAGCTAACAAATGGGTTTGCAGGTTATCACAAACATAGTTCCAATGGTACAAGATGTGGAATAATTCTATAAGCAGAGTTTTCCTCAAACTCATATCAGTTTCATTTCATTTTAGAACTGAAGATGGATATATATTATCCGAAACATGTACTCGTAGTAAAATTACAAAACTGAATTTTACTTAAAGATTTTTGGAGAAGACTGAGAGTTGCTTTACTTCTTGAGAGATATTTTCTCTATTTCTCCATTGACGTCCCTTCTCTATTGACTTCGGAAAGAAAGAAGAAGACAGCAAGTCCCATTGCTATAGGGATAACGATCTGTATTCGTTACAGAGTCTCAGCCCTGGAATTCCATAAAATTCTACTAAAATCCTACTAGACTGACACTTGCTGTCTTTTTCTCTCATATCCAAATCAATAGAGAGGAGACGACAATCGCTATTCGTTACAGAGTCTCATCACTTTGGAATCCCACAATATCCTACTAGGTACTTATTCTCGAGACAGGGAAGCGCAGGGTTCTTATAAGAACGAAGTTCTGTCTGTCTTGCTAATTCATATTTATATTTCTATAAAATTGAAAAAGACAGAGCAATCATTCTCATGAGAACGTAATTCCTTGGTTTCGAGAATAGACATCTGGAATCCCATAGAATCTTACTGAAACCCCAACGCATCCTACTAGGCTAGGACTTTGTAACTGATAGAGATCATAATCCTCGTTGTTATGGGATTTCCTATCTTTTTCTTTCATATCGAAATTAATAGAGAGGAGGCGACAATCGCTATTCGTTACAGAGTCCCAGCCCTCTGGAATCCCATAATATCCTACTGGGTCCTTATTCTCGAGACAGGGGAGCAGCATTCTCATAAGTACGAAGTTCTGTCTTCCTCAATCATATTTATATTTCCATAAAACTGATAAAGACAGAGCAATCGTTCTCATGAGAACCTAATTCCCTGGTTTCGAGAATAGACAATTTGGAATCCCATACAATCTTACTGAAACCTCAAGGCATCCTACTAGGCTGGGACTCTGTAACTGATAGAGATCATTATCCTCGTGGTTATGGCATTTGCTGTCTTTTTCTCTCATGTCGGAATCAATAGAGAGGAGACGACAATTGAGATATTGATCGCTATTCGTTACAGAGTTCCAGCCCTCTGGTATCCCACAATATTCTACTGGGTCCTGATTCTCGAGTCAGGGGAATAGCGTTCTCATAAGAACGAAGTTCTGTGTTGCTCATTCATATCTATATTTTCATCAAATTGACAAAGACAGAGCAATCATTCTCATGAGAACGTAATTCCCTGGTTTCGAGAATAGACATCCTGGAATCCCATAGAATCTTACTAATGGCGTTTCCGATTGGTAGATTTAGTGCGGAACTAGTGCAATTTTTTCTATTTCTGTCTTTTTCTTCTACAGGTCAATTAAAAGGATGCAAATACACTCAGTGCGCACTGAATTTACCAATCGGAAACGCCATAAAACTCCAAGGCATCCAACTGGGCTGGGATTCTGTAACTGATAGAGATCATTATTCTCGTCACTATAGCACTTGCTGTCTTTTTCTTTCATATCAAAATCAACAGAGAGGAGATGACAATTGAGATAGAGATATTGGATCTTTATTCGTTACAGAGTCCCAGCTTTCTGGAATCCCATAATATCCTACTGGGTCCTTATTCTCGAGTCAGGGGAGTAGCGCTCTCATAAGAACGAGGTTCTGTCTTCCTCATTCATATTTATATCTCCATAAAACTAACAGAGACAGAGCAATAATTCTCGTGAGAAAGCTATTTCCAGATTTCCAGAATAGACATCCTAGAATCCCATAGAATCTTACTGAAATCCCAAGGTTCATCTTACTGGGCTGGGACTCTGCAACTGATACAAATTGTTATTCTCGTCGCTATGGCACTTGCTGTCTTTTTCTCTCATATCGAAATCAATAGAGAGGAGGCGACAATAAAGACAGAGATATTGATCGCTATACGTTTAAGAGTCCTAGCCTTCTGGGTCCTTATTCTTGGAACAGGGGAGCAGTGTTGCCAGGAGTGATATGCAACTGACAATATAAGTAATAAAGACAGAACACTTGTTCTCCTGGAAACACTGCTCCCCTGTTTCAGGAATAGGAACCCAGAACTGGGACTGTGTAACGGATAGAGATAGTTTCTCTTATCTCTATTGACGTCCCCTCTCTATTGATTTTGAAAAGAAAGAAGAAGACAGCAAATATCATAGCGATAGGGATAACGATCTCTATCCGTTACAGAGTCCCAGCCCTGGAATCCTTTTGGGTCCTTATTCTTAAGACAAAGGAACAGCGTTCTCATAAACGAAAGTTCTGTTTTCGTCACCCATATTTATATTTCCATAAAACTGACAAAGACAAAGCAATCATTCTCCCCAGAGTTTCAAGAATACACATCCTGGGGACCGATTCTTGGGCCAGGGAGTAGAGTTACCCGAGAGAACTACTTTCCAATTACGTTGAAAGGACAAAACATCACTCGTTTTCAGGTCATATAGTATCTCACAGTGAACCCAAGTGAAAAGTTCACAAGTAGTTTTGGTGTATGTTGCCAGATTGTGCAAAATATCCCAAATATAATATATTTTTCCTTTTGTAGTCGAAGCTATCGACGTGGAAGGGATTGAAATATTCAAACAAATCAAAACTTATCCGTCAGGTTAGAGATTGATTTTTAGTGTTTTGCTCCAACTAACTAAAGTTGCAAAGGGATTTTTTACTAACTTAACTACGTGTTTTAGGCATTATTGTTTCATGCGTCTTCTTTTTTAGTGGAGGGAGCAATTGATGTTGCAGGCATCGACCAAAAACATGTAGATCTCTATCCGGAATCCTCAATAGAAAACATCCCATTTATAGTTACGGATCTAGAGACTCCGGCTGATCAAAAATTGGTAACAACAATCTCTTTCCGATAATCGCTTTCTGAAACTTCTAACAACTCTCTGTTTTCCTTTAAAAAAAAACGAGAACTTTTTTAAAGAGCAATCAAGTTTCTCTACCCAGAGGCTTTTCCGGGATATTAATCGAGTTAGTAGAGTTCCCGGGAGCACCGTTAAAAATAAACTGATGTAACATCATCGGTCGGTTATTGCTACTTACGCTTTTAAACTTTTGGGGCAAAACCGATTTTATTGCCACCATAAACCCCCCTTCCAAGTTTTCAACCTCTTTTGTTCGGGGCAATTTTATCGATATTGTTCAATTTGTACGTGAGTTTCGAATTATTGCACAATATTTACCCTATAGACTGCTCTTTAATTAAACTTCTATATTAAACCTTATCAATCTCTATTAAGCTGCTTTTCAATTATTTCCATGTATTTTAATTTAAAAAACAAAAGTTGCTGTTTTTAGGTGGTACCGATAACAGCTGAATTACCGAAGGGTTTCCAGGAGGGCTGGCAACTCGAGATTATTGGCAGAGTCAAAATTCTACCATCTTCTTTCTATATAAATTTGCAACAAGGCAAGACGTTGTGGCCTCATCCTTTGATTCCTTTACATTTAAATCCCAGATTTTGTAAGTGAACCTTTGGAACAATAACTTTCCCCTCTCAAATTGTACAAAGTAGATTCAAATGTAATAATTCTAGATACTTCCTATGGGAATCACCTTTTTGTCCGTAACGCCTGGATGAACGGAGAATGGGGTCACGAAGAGTGCACTCCAGGTTTCCAATTTACTCCAGGTCAAAAGTTTCACTTGGCCATCAGAATGAATCCGGACACTTTTGGGGTTTGGGTGGACGGTATTTTGGCGGGTGAGTTTCAGTTTCGGACTCCCACTCATACCATCGATACCGTTTACATCCACGGTGACGTCCAAATCCGGAGCATTTGCTTGAAGGATCACATTGATGATAAGTATTTTAGCAAGGGCAGAGAGAGGATTAATGTGAAGTTGTGAAAAATATAGGCTGTTTTATATTGTTAATAAGTGGCCTTTACTTTTGTCAATAATTATAATAATTAAAGGCTATTATTGCTGTGTTTTATATATTTAATACACACATTTGTGTGGTTATAATAATTATTCAATATATTTTAAATTTGTGTTAACTTTCATTTCTTTATTAATCAAGTGCCGCTCCAAAACCGAAATCTGCTTCAAATAGATTAATGAAGTTTCTTGTTTTTTCCATCATAAAACTGAATCAGTACTACAAAGTACGTAGCAGTAGTACCGATTAAATCAAACATGGTAGATCGATTGATTTCGTAGTAATCCATCGCAGTGAATTTGACTTTAGAATTATTGACGAGGTAAAGCAGATTCTTGATACTTTGATAAGGCCCGGTGAATACTGAATATTTCAGTTGCAATCTGTAGCAAATCGTTATAATTTCTTCGGATTCCACTACGGCCATGTCGCAACAGAACATCGTAACTCCCAACCAAATCTATAGGCAAAAGCTAAATCAATTTGTTTAAGGGCCAAATTATGGACTAACTGGTTATCACCTAGCAGATTTTTTCTTTGCACTAGAGAAAAGAAGTAGATAGTCAAAGCGGGTTCTAGCATCAAAATCCGACCATAACCTCAATCTTGCATTCTTGAAAAATTTCTCAGGCTCAGGTGCCCCCGTTACTAATAATCTGTGTCGAAAAGCTGCCTGTGTAGACAGACCTGTCTCGAAAAGCTGTCTTTATAGACCGCCTTGTCCCATAAAAAACCTGTCTGTGTGGACAGACCTGTCTCGAAAATCTGTCTGTGTAGACAGACCTGTCTCGAAAAGCTGTATCGGACCTGTCTCTGGACCTGTATAGCTGTCTACACACTTAATTGTCTCTGGATCTGTATATTTAGAGCGTTTTATAGTCTATACGGAGTTACTTGGACCAGGCCTTAAATAGATAGCGCCACCGATAACATCATGACGTCGAAAAATTTGGGGTTGAACAAGATCAAATCAACGAAATTTCAGATCAAAGGCGCCGCCGATCTAGAGATTTTCTTACGGTATCGAAAAAACTGTAGACAGGCCTGTCTCGAAAAGCTGTATCGAACCTGTCTCTGGACCTGTATAGCTGTCTATGGTCTATTTTTTCCCAACATAGATTTTGACATTGTCAACTTTGAAACATAAACAATAGCTCTTGGCCCTGAAAGGTCACAAAATGATGTGTCCCTGCAGGTTGACATCAGTTTTACAATGCATGCCGTGCAAATGGCATCTTACGATCAATAAGCGGCATTATTTTTGTATATGTTTCAAAGTTGACAATGTCAAAATCTATCTTGGGAAAAAATAGACCATAGACAGCTATACAGGTCCAGAGACAGGTTCGATACAGCTTTTCGAGACAGGCCTGTCTACAGTTTTTTCGATACCGTGAGAAAATCTCTAGATCGGCGGCGCCTTTGATCTGAAATTTCGTTGATTTGACCTTGTCCAACCCTAAATTTTTCGACGTCATGATGTTATCGTTGGCGCTATCTATTTAAGGCCTGGTCCAAGTAACTTCGTATAGACTATAAAACGCTCTAAATATACAGGTCCAGAGACAATTGAGTGTGTAGACAGCTATACAGGTCCAGAGACAGGTCCGATACAGCTTTTCGAGACAGGCTGTCTACACAGACAGCTTTTCGAGACAGGTCTGTCCACACAGACAGCTTTTTTATGGGACAAGGTTGTCTATGAAGACAGCTTTTTGAGACAGGTCTGTCTACACAAGCAGCTTTTCGAGACAGGTTAGTAGTAACGGGGGCACCTGAGCCTGAGAAATTTTTCGATACCGTGGGAAAATCTCTAGATCGGCGGCGCCTTTAGGAAATTGTAATTTCGAACCCTTGTCGATCAATTGCAAGAATTCACCGCACTCTCGACAGATGGCGCCATGACGTTTGACAGATGACAAGATGGCGCCGACGCATCTTCGTGTCAAGAATGCAAGATTGAGGTTATGGTCGGATTTTGATGCTAGAACCCGCTTTGACTATCTACTAATAGACAATACCTGCTAGGTAACACTTACCAGTCGGTCCATAATTTGGCCTTAAAAATAATACAAGTTGTCATTACCAGCATCAGAAAAATGTAAATAACTCCGATTGCCAGGCGAACCAAATCATCTTGGTGTTCGTCCTTTGTTTTTAGCATGCTGTTGACCAAGGCGACACTCCATTGTAGAATTTGAGAGGAACAATGTAAGCCCATTAGGAAAAGTTGAGGCCCAAACAACTCGTTGAACCTGTCAACTATTTCAGTCATGTCTGAGTATAAATCTTTGACTTTTTTGGTACCTGAAATAAATCATTTATAGTTTTTCTAAAATCAATTGGAACAAGGTGAATATAAATCATAACTGCTGGAAATTTTCAGTGACCAGTCAGCCACCAGTTGCTACCTTGTTCCAATTCAGTTTGGAAATACTATATATACTATATACTTACCCTTAACAACTGTAATTGATTGGTCAGCTTCGTAGCTGGACAGTAAGCTGTTGATGTCTTGGAATTTGTTTTTCAAAATCAAAGCCATGTTGCCAATGATTGTTGACAACAGAAAGTGCAGGAAAAAATAGATGTAACTTGTGCTAAGAACAATAGGATAATGAACTGATAACAGGGATGTAATTATTACTTACTGAAACATGAAAACATGTTTGTCTTCGCCACTGAAAGCCACCCTGTCATAAGCAAATAAGCCAATTATAAGCAATATAGTGCAGGCTAATTGAAAATTAACATTTTTCAAAATGTTATACTCCCTGGTTCTTAGAGTATTCAAATTGCAAAGTGCTTCTAAATCGAGGATTTCAGTAAAAATACCTTCCCAGACATCTCGTTTGAAGTAAGCTTGATACAGCGCCGTACACCATATAAGAATGCCTAGAATTTCACCTACAACAGCAACCAAAATTACCAAGTTGAAATCGTTCATACAATAGATGTTCCAAATGGTAAAAACCTCTGAAGCCATCATCATTAGAAACAGTGAACCCAAGTATATTGAAAACGCCTTTAGTCGTGGAAACCGCCTTGTGTCGAAACAGTATAGAGGAATTAGGCCAAAAATTGCACAGAAATTGCATATAATTTGCAGCGAGATCAAATTTTTACGGCTGTAGTTCAGAATCATGTTCAAGCCTGTTGAGTCTCACCACACTTATGAAAAATTATGTTAATTCAATTGAAAGGTGTCAAAGTCGATATTACAGAGAGGGAGCAAAAAAATATATAATTTTGTAAAGTATATATAATTGCATGACTATAGATATTCTATTTCAAAATCCATACCTGTATAGAAAAGGTACACAAACTTACACTAATTAATTGAATTTTCCAATTAATAAAGTCGCTTTGCTACAAATAATCTATTTATCTAATATCGTTGAAAGGGCTTTTAAAGGTATTAGAAAGGCTTGAGTAACTCGGTGAAAAGTACTAAATAAACGAGTATAATTATGCTTAGTGTGTGTACAAATATTGTCACAACCCCTATACGTCTCGTCCTGAGACGTCACAACAGAAGTATGACCTGGGGGCGTAGGTAGGGTTCAGGTACAATAAAATATGTATTGAATATATAAGATAATATTACCCTAGGAATAATACCATGACGTCTCTTCTACGGAGAGACGTATTACTCAGGCCACTCTGTATCATGTACACTTTGTACGTAACTGATTACTGAAGTTGGGTTTGAGACAGGTTTTTCCCAATAAAGGTAGTTTGCACTGGGAGGAGACTTAGCTAGAGAGGCTTTTCCCAATTGAGGTACTTTGCACTGGCCTCAATGGAATATTTTGAATCCTAATTAAATTGTCTCAAAAAATCGGATATTTAAACCGAATTATTATCTCGGTGTCGTTACGATGAAGCTTCCAGTTTTATGTGCCAATAAACTGGAAGTGTAGGAGGGCCTCTCGTCAAGTTTATCTTTTAATTAGTTTTCGCTCAAGAGAGGACTGTTAAAAGGACGAAATAGGCCATTATTTAACTGACAGAATCGTCCTAAAAACAAAAGTTTAATGCCAGCAAATACTGGCTTTTAAGGAATATTGGAGTTTTAAAATGTTCCAGCCATGATGGCGTAATTGAGCTGCTAGCCAATCAAATGGCTGGGAAATTGAGATAATGGTAACAATATTTATTGCAATTCTATAAGCTTTTGCCCACCAATATACGGATTTCCTGCGTTCCGTCTGGTTTATGTTTGGCATTGAACTGTTGTAGAGTGTCGCATACTTATGCCGATGTCGTTTTTCGTTTTCTTTAATATGGCCTTAATGAGATTTTTCTGGTTAACCATCTCAAGTACCAATCCCTTACGGAAAGTTCTTTAATTTATTGTGTTCGTATAACTTCTTTCTACCTCCATGTAGATATATCTGTGATCTCTCAGTGTCTCCATATCCTTCCACTCCAGTATTCTGGACAGAGGTTTGTTCTGGGCATACCCCATTCCATTAAAGTCTCCTGTAATGACCACGTCCCCTTTAATCCTATCTATCTCTGTTCCGATACTCTCTATTATGCCTTGGTCAGTTTTTGAATAATCATACAGTTTCCTATGTACAGGGTGTTTTTTTATATATTGAAACCCCACCTACAGCCTTCACCTTTACAAGTAGATGAAAGGTGTAAATACAAAAGTTGTACAGTATTGGCTAAATTTTTAAAATCTATGGTCAAAAACAAGAATTGAATGTCAAAAATTTGAAATGTTGCATGGTTTCAGATTTTTTCAAATGGAATGCCCTATATTTGGTTCTATATTCTTGAAGAGTACAATTTCTCGATTCTAAAACTATATAGTTTGTCTATATTTGGTTGGATTGAGCCGTCTCCAATCTATTTGGTTCTAAAAATTTAAAAAATACTATCAGAGAAACCAAATACCTCAAATTTCACCTGCAGTTTTCACCTGTAGGTAAAATGATTCACAAAATCAGTAGTAGGATAGTATTTTTACAATTTTTGGAGCCGAATATATATGAATGATTGCTCGATCAAATATAGATCGGGGCATTATGCTCTTCAAGAATATAGAATGAAATATAGGGCATATCATCTGAAAAAAGCTGGAAGCATGCGAAATTTCACATTTCTGACATTCAAATTATATTTCTGACCATGGTTTCTAAAAATTCAGCCAAAACTGTACAACTTTTGTATTAACACCTTTCTTCTACCTGTAAAGGTAAAGGCTGTAGGTGGGGTGTCAATATATATAAAAAAACACCCTGTACAAATAAGTGGATTATTGCGAAACTAATGGGTGGATCTCTGCGGGACGAGCGCAGCGAGTTCCGCAGCCATCTACTCACCAATATACTATTGAACTGTTCAACTCACTTGAATGTGAGTTATTCTCATTAGTTTAAAAACTACACGCTTCAAGTGAGTGTCTTATTTGAATAGTTCAACAATATTTTGGTGAGTAGATGGCTGTAGATGAGTAGTTTTTAAACTAATGAAAATAACTCACATTTGAGTGAGTCAGGTTAGTATCGTAATTAAACAACATATTGATGAATAGATGGCTGCGACACTCGCTGCGCTCGTCCCACAGAGTTCCACCCATAAGTTCCGCAACAATCCACTCGTTTGTACTTGAATAATTTGTCACATTATACTACTAGTTTGGTAAAGTAACATTATTAATTCCTGTTGAAAAGCAAATTGACAAAAAAAGGAAAATCTTACAAATTTTGACTTTATATAATAAGCCATTGTTCAAGTATAAGTGGATTGTTGCGGAACTTATAGGTGGACCTCTGCGGGACGAGCGCAGCGAGTTCCGCAGCCATCTACTCATCAATTTGCTGTTGAACTATTCAAGTAAGATATTTACCTGAAACGTGTACTTTTTAAACTAATGAGAATAACTCACATTTGAGTGAGTCAGGTTAGTATCGTAATTAAACAATATATTGATGAATAGATGGCTGCGGAACTCGCTGCGCTCGTCCCGCAGAGGTCCGCTTATATGTTCCGCTACAATTCACTCATTTGTACTTGAACAACTTGTCACATTATGTTACCAGTCAGAGCTGAGCCAAGTACTAAGCAAATGTACTTGAAGTATTAAATATTAAGTATCAAATATTTTAAATATACAGTATTAATTATTTTATTTAAAGTAAAAAAAATAGTATAAGTATCAGTACTTATAAGTAGGTACCTAGAGTATTTATATGTAGGTACTTTCTTAAGTAGATACTCATAAATCTATCCTAATCAATAATAATCAATAATTACTACTTGTTTTTCTAGTGAACACTATTGTTTACTTATAATAATTAAATAATTAGTTCTGACATGCTCAAAGGGATGCAACTACACCTGTTTTTTCCGCGTCGCGCGCCCTATTTCCTAGAAAATAATTAAACTAGATATACCAAATAAGTACTTAGAGTACATATTTCAAGTAAACTGTTGGACAATTGCTTTTGCAATTTAAGTACCAGTACAAGTACTTTTTTCAAATTATATTGATTATTTTTTTCTCAAGTACTCTTCTAATAAAAGTACTTAAGTAAAATCATCATATCAAATGTACTGAATATTTTACTTCAAGTATATTTTTATAATCAGTACCTCAGCTCTGTTACTAGTTTGGTAAAATACCATTAGAAATTCCTGTCAAAAGGTAAACTGACGAAAAGTGGATAATCTCTCAAATTCTGACTTTATATAATAAGTTATTGTTCAAGTACAAGTATATTTTCGTATGGTTCTCCATTCTAAGGTCGATCGAGTGTACGCACTAGTATTTTCCTGTCTCTGACTGTTCCCTGCACCTGATAGAGATTGTTATTCTCCTCGCTATGGTACTTGCTGTCTTTTCCTCTCATGTCGAAATCAATAGAGAGGAGACGGCAATTGAGATAAAGATATTGATCGGTGTTTGTCAGAAAGTCCCACAATATCCTACTGGGTTCTTATTCTCCAGACAAGGGAGCAGCGTTCTCATAAGAACGTAGGGTCTGTAGGCGCTAATATTACCTATAATAAAATATAAAATATCTGGGCTTGAAGAACCGTTTTTCTATCTTGAACTTTAGATGATAGAAAATAGAGAATGGCTGATTAAAGTTTGATAATTTTTTCATATTTCTTGACAACTATTCACTAATGACAATCGTAATTATAATAATCAAAACACCAGCAACAGGGTATGCCTTCATCGGCTCTGAGTCATTTGTGCGATAGCCGTTTGCGCGAGAGACAAAAGCGCGATATGAAAAGCGCGAGGGACAAAAAAACGCGACTGGAATAAAACGTGACGGACAAAAACGCAACGGGACAAAAGCGCGACGCAAAAAAAAAGCTAGGGATAAAAGCGTGACGGGACAAAAGCGAGATGAACAATAACGCACAAACTTATCGATAATAACCCGGTCAATTTGCAATTTTAATCATACATTTCCAAACTTACTCATAATAACCTGGTAAGTTTGCAATTTTTATCAGACATTTCCAAACTTACCAATAATAACCCGGTTAGTTTGCAACTTTTATCAGGCATTTCCAAACTTACCGATAATAAACGGTTTAGTTTTCAATTTTATTTAGACATTCCCAAACTTACTCATAATAATGTCTGATTCAAATTGTAACCTCCGGATTATTATGGGTAAGTTTAAAAATGTCTGATTAAAATTGTGAACTAGCCGGGTTATTATGGGTAAGTTTGGATATGTCCGATTAAAATTGAAAACCAAACAGGTTATTATTCATTTGCATTTTTATTCCGTCGGGTTCTTGTTTCTCGGGTATTTATCCAGTCGCGTTTTTGCTCATCGCGCTAT